ATGCCAGTAGCTACCTCAGGACTGTCCTCATGGAGGTGACAGAAACACAAGAAAGAGCAAGGCCTCTCGAGTTGTAGACTTAGAAGCACCATACTTGCACTGCTGCTTCATTCTATTACCCAAAGCCAGGCACATGGTCAAGTCCAGAGACAGAGGCAGAGGACACTTCAAAGTTAAATGCCCAAGGGGGTGGATGTAGAGAGGGTAAAAGATCATTCAACCCATCAGCAAGACCTATCAATTCTACCTTAAAAATACTTTCCACACCTGTCCAATACTCCTTCTATCTTATTGCTACCACCCCTTCAGTTCACCATGATCTATCTCTTTTACCTATCACCACCTGACTGCTCTTTCCAAATCTTTCTTGTCCATTCCTTCTCAGACCATTCTCAATGCAGCAGCAAGAATAAACTTAAAAGAAAACCTGCTCTGACCACTCATTTAATTAAGTCTGCCAAATAGTTTCCTATTGTTCTCAGGATAAAGGTGAAAATCCTGAGTTAGGCCTGAATTGTTTTCAATTTTCAATTGAGGGGTTATTTTAAAGCAAATAGGTGAACCTGGTAAAAGGGAGAAAGAGAGTGAAGAGGGAGTGTGGGAAAGAGAGGTTTTGTAATGACTTCCATCTGAAGACAGCCTGGGACCCCTTTCTCCAACATCATCTCCTTCCAGACTTTCTTTCACTTTATGGTTGGAACACATCATAATTCCCCAGCTTGTACACTATTTCAAGCCTCTGGGGTCTTATTTGGACTGCTCTGGAAGAACTGCAATAAAAAATTAGAGATTAGAAAAAAAAATTAGAGATTAGGATGAGATAATAAGTAGTCAATATACCCATAGCTCTCCCAATATTCTCTCTTGATGTTCTCACCATCTTTTAATGTAGATAAACATGTACACATGGTTATGCTAGGGTGAGGTGAGAGTAGTATACAGGTGTGACAACTCATCCAAGAGGTTTTTGAACTGGAGTCTGAGATACAACTGTTAAATTGGCTTTGTGGAGAAGAAATCTAAGAGGATGAGTCAGAGGAATGGGATGCCTTTTAGTCCACAGGGAGTTATCCTGTTATTCTTTCAGAATTTGAGGAGGCTTATCAGGAGCTAGGTACACATAACCTTATTCCCTGTCTCTTCTCCCCAATTTTCTTGGGGGAATATTTCTGAATATTAGAGACATGGAAAAAAATGACATATTCTCCTTTTCTCTCTCCTCGTGTAGGGATTTCACACTTTAACTACAGGGGCCCTGTAGACTTCTTTCTCTCTGAGTGATCAACAAGAGGCAAACGTGAGGGCTTTAACCTCAACAAGTGGTCTTAGTTGAATCTACCAGAAAAAAAAAAAAAAAGGTGATTGAAAGCCTCTGCTTTAGGCCCTAAAAAAATAGAGAGGAGAAGAGTGTAGATTGGTTTGGCTCAGTGGATAGAGCATCGGACTGGGGATTGAAGGGACTGAGGTTCGAATCCAGCCAAGGACAAGAAAGAGCGTGAGCGAGAGCAGGTCTCCTTGCCCTTTGAGGGCGGAGAGGCCGAGGGAGAAGTACAAACCATTTCCTCTGAAGTGTCCTTGGTTTAGGGAAGATGGGATTTACTAGGTGGCTGCAAACTGCTATTTACCTTAATTGTCTTAGTTTCCCTATCCCACTTGTCCTGGAATGTTCCTAGCTTCTTACTATTCTGTAGCAATGAAGTTTATTTACTTTTATTTTTTAAATTTTTAAAATATCATTTCGTATTGGTTTCATGTGTACAGCATAGTGGTTAGACAATCATATACTTAACAATTAATAAGTTTTAAACTGCCTGCCATTCTAAGTAGCATGATGAGAACTTGCATCATCCCTCTTGGTCCCACCAGTGAATGTAAGTAATCCCTTTGTCAAGAGTATCCACCCTGTATACACTACTCTTCAGATAGTCATTTGGTGACTGGGAAATGATAGATCCTCCCTTCCCCCAACTGGTGGGTGGAGTATGACGTAACCAGCAGCCCAGAAATACCTGAGTGACTAACCAGGTACCTTATATGGACTATACCTTGGACCACCAATCCACACCTGCCAAATACCCTAAGCCCTTGTCCTATATGGACAATGCAGTAAGCGACCAATCAGTGCGCGCCGAGTACACTAAGCCCCCCACCCCTTCCCATTCCGCCCCTCAAAAGGCGTGCCCACCCCTGCACGTGTTGCTGCTCTCCCCTTGTGAGACAGCCCGGCAGGTGCTTCTCCTCTAATAAAGCCTGGAGTCCTGGTTTTTCGCCCTCTGTCTGATTTTTCAGGAAAGCCTGAAACAACAGTTGGGTCAGGTATTAAATCTAGGTGAGAGGGTTAACTTGAAAGGCAGGCAGATAAGGCAGGGGCCCAGTGGGAAACAAAGGCAGGAGGAAAAGGCAGGGGCAGACACAGCAGTTTGAGCAAGCATAATCACAGAAACCAACCAAGCAGAAATAATAAAACGTTTCTGGACTCAAAGCGGGAGGCATGGGAAAACAAGGGAGGGCCTGTAGGAACAATGTGTATGAACGCATGGAAACAGAAAGTTCAGCGTAGGAACAGAGAAAGAACAAATAGAAACAGGGAAAGTTCAGGTCCCTTGCTGAGCAAGAACAATGAGGGAATCAATCAGGTGACACAGATATAGAAACAGGCTTGTAGCAAATATATACCCCTGGACCACAAGGCTTAAGGGGGGCGGCCCATTACTGGGCCCCCCCTCCCTGTGAAGGGAGTCTGAATCTGCTTGTAATAAATTTTCCACACTCTTGCTTCAATCTTCTGGTCTGTGGAGCTCATTCTTCAGCATTGCAAGACATGAGCCTGTGGAAAAAGACCTTGGCTCACCATTCTGGTTATTGTAGGGTTGGTGTCCAGGAATGTAGCACCAGGGACACCATTCTGGGCTGGTGGATTTTCTCGGTAACAAAAGTAATAGCTAAGTCTGGACAAAACTTCCCACACATTTGTAGTGTTCGTGAAAAAAAAATTTCCTCTACCCTTCAAGGTTCTTCTGGGTGGTGTAACGATTAAATTGACACAAAGCAGATTAACAGGAGAAAAATTTACATTTATTATTTTTTTTTTATTTTTTTTTTAACAATTTATTTTATTTTATTTTTTTTTTTTATTGCTTAAAGTATTACAAAGGGTATTACATATGTGTCCATTTTATCCCCCCGCCCTAGACAGTCCCCTAGCCTCCCCTATCCCCCAATGTCTTATGTCCACTGGTTATGCTTCTATGCATGCATACAAGTCCTTTAGTTGATCTCTTACCCCCCTACCTAACAGGAGAAAAATTTACATTTAATAACACGCAGGCCTCCTTACACACAGGAGAGACCCAGCAACACCAAGTAAGTTGGCAAAATGGTGGAAGCCGTCGCCTTAAATGTCACCTTCAGCTAAAGGCAAAAGATGATGTTGGGGGTGGGAGTCGGTGACCGGAGGTACCCAGGAAAAGCAGTTAACAAGGATAAGACTGTTACGCAGAAGTCCACACCCTCTTCATTGTTAACAGCTTTACAGAGATTTTGATAGCCTCCTCTTCCGGGTACAGTGAGGGCAACACCCTTGCAGCTTTCCTTCACAAACGTGAATATTCTCTTACAAAGGGCAACTTCTACTTGGTTTTCAGAGCTCCCCCCACATCTGCTTTTTTATATTCACCAGCCTAAAGTTACCCATATCCCCAAAGAGGCATCTTTTGGGGTGGCAAACTCTGCTCCCCTTCAGTAGGGAAAGGTAAAAGAGGACTTCTTAAGACCGAGACAAGGAGGATGACTATGTGAGTCATGTGTATCTCCCGAGCTGTCCTTCTGGGGGTAACCTTGACACTCATGGATTTGCACTGCAGCGGAGATCAAGCCTTTCATCAGGGTCATGAAGTTGCTAGAACACAGCCTAGGAGGGAGCGTGGGTAGGAGGCTGCGTGCCTCCTGGGGTGCGGGGGTGGGGGACCGCATCATTGTAGCCTTCCACTGGTCACAGACGAGGCCCTGCGTCTCTGGAGCTCACATTCTGATAGAACTTCAGACCACGGTCAAATGGAGGCCACTTAGGGCAGGCAGGCGGGAAAGGCCTCTTTTTTAAAGTTTTTTATTATTATTATTTTTTAAAATATATTTTTATTGATTTCAGAGAGGAAGAGGGAGAGACAGAACATCAATGATGAGAGAGAACCACTGATCGGCTGCCTCCTGCCTCCTACTGAGGACCCAACCGGCAACCCGGGCATGTGCCCTTGACCCGAATCGAACCCAGGACCCTTCAGTCTGCAGGCTGACGCCCCATCCGCTGAGCCAGGCCGGCCAGGGCGGGAAAGGCCTCTCGAAGAGGTGAGCTCTGACCTGGAATTTTGGAACTTTAACAAATGTTTAAGTGCGGGAGGAGAGGTGAATGACAAGCAATCGAGTGGTTGCCAAGGACCCAAAGAATGTTTCTATTTGGCGTCAGGATCTTAATGAAAACGAGGAAGGGAAAAACAAACAAAAAAAACACTTAGTATTACGGTCCCTGAACGGCGCCTTCAAAGCCGCCAGGCTGAAAAACCAAGTCCCCGCCGCAATTCGAAGGGCCTGGGCGTGGAAAACTCCCAGAAGCAGCGCATGGCCTGGGGGCGGGGCCCAGGCGGGGGCGGGGCCCAGGCGGAGGCGGGGCCCAGGCGGAGGCGGGGCCCAGGCGGAGGCGGGGCCTCGGTGGGCGGGGCTACGGAAGCCGGACGCGCTCCGCTTCTCTGGACCGTGAATCTGCGCAGGCGCGTGGCGCTCGATTGGTTGGGGGTCCCTCCGCGAAGGCCCGCCCCCACCGCCCTCCACGCCCACCATCGCATTTATTCCGGCCGTCCCCGCCGCTCCCGAGGCGGACACCCAGCGTCCCAGTCGCCAGGCAGCTTCTGTTGGATCAGCAGCAGGAGGGACTTGCCCGGAGTGTCCTCAGCACCGCGCAGCCCGTTGTGCTCCTGCCCGGCCCTCCAGCCGCGCTCCCACCCGCATTCCCGGGCTGGTCTGTGGGTCCGGGCACCACCTCCACGGCGGCTCCTCCGGACCTGAGGACTGGGCCACAGCCCGAGAGCCGAGCGGACGGTGTCATGAAGCCTCTGCCGTACTTCTGCCACGGCGAGGTCGTGCGGGGCTTTGGCCGTGGCTCCATGCAGCTGGGCATCCCCACGGGTGAGCGCGAGAGGGCGCGGGGCCGCCGAGACGGGTCACGTGGGAGCGGGACGTCAGTCGGGGCTCGGGGCTGCGGCTGCGGCTGCGGCTGCGGACGGGGTGACGCCCTCCCCTCTGCCGATTCCCGCGCTGTGTAGGCGGAGGGTCTTCAGTGGGGCCGCGGGAGCAGGTCCTGGCCGGTGGCTTCGGGTTCTCCGGGCCCCTGGCTTGAGGGGTGGGGAGGGCAGGAAGCAGGAGCTGAGTTTTGGGGTCCCCCTTTGCCGCCTCTATAACCTGTCGTGATAGAGCTGCCAAGCGTGGCAGGAGCCTTGGCCGTTAGGGGAATCGTAATTTGGGCAGATTGGTTAAATTCTCAAGCCAATTGTAGGGTTATTTTAAAAAAAAATCTTATTATTAGATTGTGCCCAAGTGATAACATAGGCAGCTGGATGAGAAACAGGTCAATGGGGTGGGGGGGGGGGGGGGAAGGAGACATATATAATACTTTAACCAATAAAGAATTAAAAGTTTTTTAAAAAAAATGAAATGGTAGGATTGATCCATAGGAAAAGCCCTAGAAATCTTTAGAACCTATTTAGCTTTGGGTACGATTTTTATAAAGGTTGTGAAACTCTTAACACTCAGAATATTTACTTCTGTTTTTAAGCCAACTTTCCTGAACAAGTGGTCGATAATCTTCCCACTGATGTGTCCACTGGCATTTATTACGGATGGGCCAGTGTGGGAACCGGAGAAGTCCATAAGATGGTGGTGAGCATAGGATGGAACCCATACTACAAGAACACGAAGAAGTCCATGGTAAGAATGTGTTTCACTCTAACTGGAAATGGGATGGCGATTTAGATCAGTGATTCTCAACCTTCCTAATGCCGCGACCCTTTAATACAGATCCTCATGTTGTGGTGACCCCCAACCATAAAATTATTTTTGTTGCTACTTCATAACCGTAATTTTGCTACTGTTATGAATCCTAATGTAAATATCTGATATGCAGGATGTATTTTCATTGTTACAAATTGAACATAATTAAAGCATAGTGATTAATCACAAAAACAATATGTTATTATATATGTGTTTTCCAATGGTCTTAGGCGACCCCCAAAGGGGTCGCAACCCACAGGTTGAGAACCGCTGATTTAGAGTAATATGCAGTATTAGGTATACATATAGAGGTATGGGCTCCGTCAGTGGTAACCACAACCTAGTGTAAATTCCAGATTTTTGGCAGCACACTTGAAGGATTTAAAAGCTAAGTACTTAGTTACTATTTGACTGTAACTTTTCCCTTTCATTTTAAAACTTTGTCTCTAGATCTAAAGTGAATCTTGTCAGTGTATAGTTGGCTCTTACCTTTTTAATCATCCTGCTAATCTCTGCCTTTTGATTGGAGAGTTTAATCCACTAATTGATAAGGAAGGACTTAAGCTATTGCTATTTGTTTTCTATATGCCTTACAGCTTTTTATAAGTTTATTGTTGAAAGTATTACAGATGTCCCCTTCCCCCTCCTTCCCCCACCCCCACTCCCCCCAGGCCTTCACATGTCTGTGTCTATAGGTTATGCATATATGCATATAAGTTCTTTGGTTAATCTCTTTCTGCCCGCACCCCCCCCCCCCCCCCCCCCCCGCCCGCCCATGATTCCTCAGTCTGTTCCATGCTTCTCTGTCTCTGGTTATATTTGTTCCTCAGTTTCTGTCATTAAAAAGAACTCTAAGATTTTGATTGGCATAGCATTGAATCTGTATATCAATTTAGGGAAAGTAGACATTTTTGTCATTTCTCTCCTAACTCATCCCTCAATTACGGATGAGAAAACTGAGCTCCAAAGAGGTTAAGGTATCCTTTTAAAAGCCAAATGTGCGACCTGAGACTTTATCTTAACTTAGTGCTCTTGCTACATTATTTCCTTGCTTCTCTTAAGTTCAATTCTAGTATAAACAAACGATTTAGTCATCTAACAAAACCAAAGCTCTAATAAGAGCTTTAAGAAAAGTTTCTTTTTTTTTTTTAATATATTTTATTGATCTTTTTACAGAGAGGAAGGGAGAGGGATAGAGAATTAGAAACATCGATGAGAGAGAAACATCAATGAGCTGCCTTCTGCACACTCCCCACTGGGGATGTGCCTGCAACGAAGGTACATGCCCTGGCACATCCCCTTGATCGGAATCAAACCTGGGACCCTTGAGTCTGGAGACTGATGCTCTATCCACTGAGCTAAACCAGTTAGGGCAAGAAAAGTTTCTAATATCTATATTTTCTTTTTAAAAATTGTTTAAATCAGTTCTCTTTTTTTTTAATGGGCTTCATAAAATCCATAAACACCATTAATTTGCATGCAGAGTTTTAGTTAGGGACACTTGGAGAGAGCCCATATTAATGTCCTGAAAGGACCATGACCCTGCCCCACCTAAACAAACTCAAAAGATTATGAAAGACTAGGTTATAATAATAAAAGCATAATATGCCAATTAGGCAACCTTCAAGAGGAAGCTGGGGCTGCAAGAAAAGCCGGCAGCCGGTGGGAAGGAGGGCCTGCACTCTTGCATGAATTTCATGCATTGGGCCTCTAGTTTTATATAAGAAAAAAAAGAAAACTTAGCTTAATAGATTAAGTTACACACTTGAAATTATACTTCTAGTCTCAAGTTACATGTTTGTAAGTTGTGTAACCCTCTCAGTTCCCAGTGCCACCATCCCAATCCAGCCTCAACTGCCTTGTGCATTTGCTTGCTCTTTACGTTGCTTTTTCTGCCTTTTGAGCTCAGATTTGTGTTGTTTTTTTTATAGGCACCTACTAAATTCAGATTTCCAGAGCTGCTTCTACCCCCTGCACCATTTTATTTCAGCACATGTTGTACCCATTTGTTACACCATTCCTAGATCAGGAACCTGCTTGGGGTCTTCTACCCCCACATCAGTCTTCACTTTTGGATAGCCCTCAAAAGTTTCTGAAATGAGTGTGTTAGAGACACATGGATCCTGGTTAACTTTCGAGCTAGTTCTATTAGTGGAAACATCTCTTAATACTTTACAGTGATTCCCTCTTCGATGTCTTTGCTCAGTTTTTTCACCTTGGTAAGACTCTTAATTACTTTGCTGCATGATTTTTGCTATAAGCAGCAAATCATGCTAGATTTGTGGTGTAACTTCTTCTTTACTAATGTTTACATGTAAGGCCAGGGACAGGAACAGGAACAGTGGAAGAATACAGGAAAAACTATATGTTTTAACCTGTCTTTCAAGATCTAACCAGGGTTGATTGTTTTATTTAAATTATTCCACCATTAATATGTGTATTTCAAATTTCAGCTTTATTCTGTAAATGGGATGGTAATAATTTTTTTCTAAACATTTCTTGACTGCAGGAAACTCATATCATGCATACCTTCAAAGAGGACTTCTATGGGGAAATCCTCAATGTGGCCATTGCTGGCTACCTCAGACCAGAAAAGAACTTTGATTCTTTAGGTAAGTTCTTAGTTATATTAAGTATCTTTGCAGCTACTTCTCCTTCTATTAGTAATAACCATGGCAATACAGATAATATTTGAGCATTTATTATGTGTCAGGCATTGTATTAAGTGCCTTACATGGATTAACTCATTTTATCCTCACAATAACCATATGAGGAATTATTCTTTTTTACTTAAGTCTGGAAGAATGGGTAGAACAATTACTAGACAACTATCCTGATCCACAGACACAGCCAGCCTTGAGGGGAGTATTTTGGCGAGGTTGAGCATAGGAGTAGTAAAAAGTATAGCTGCAGTTCTCATTATCTTTATATTCTCTCGCAGAGTCACTTATTTCAGCAATTCAAGGTGATATTGAGGAAGCTAAGAAACGACTAGATTTACCAGAGCATTTGAAACTCAAAGAAGACAATTTCTTCCAGGTTCCGAAAAGCAAAATAATGAATGGCCACTGATGAAAACTCATCTTACTTATTCATTCATTGTTCTCTAAAATCCTACAGCTGTGACTTAGTTTAAGCAGTACAATGTAATTTTTATTATGCTTCATGTTCAATTAAACCCATCATGCTACAGAACTAACAATATTCATTTTAAAAATCCAGATTTTGTCTATGTAATATGTTGACTAAAATTTACCACTAGAAATAGCAAGTGTTTTATAAGGAAAATGAAATGTATAAAGCTATGGGTAAAAAGTCAAGTCACTAGTTTGAAATGAAAACTAATTAGAGTAAAAGACTAGAGTGTATGTACTTGTATAGCATGTGCTGCTAAACAGAAGGCTTTTAAAAGTAAATGTATTAAAACAGGTTTGATATCTTATAAACCTAAGAGGGAAAACTCACACACTGTATTTTTTATATTTTGTGCATTAAAATATTACTACAAACATAAATACTCGTGAAATTTTAATTAGTCATGACTAATTTTCTTTATGGAAAATTAGAGGTCAAATCATTATATCATGTTTTGTTTTTGTTTTTTTACATCTGCCTCAGCTATGATTGGTCTGGACTCTCTGCCTATCAGTTATTTTGGTCTGTCTTTTAAAACATTAAAATGAGTGTATTTTGAATTTGTAGGTTTCATTTTTGTATTGTATAGCACTGTTCTCTTTAAGAGTAGATATTCAACATATTTTCTTGACTTTGATTATTTTTTTCCTTTAAACAATTGTATGTCAAGTTTTTTCCATTTAGAATATCCTCTGACTTGCAAAGGATTGCATCTATCGCCACCATTCCAGCGTTCACTATATGAAAACCCCCAAAAGCTTCATCTTTAGGTTTACTCAAAGTCTAAGTGAACATGTAGCACTTCATTTATATATGCCAGTTTCTTAAAGAACACAAAACACTTTTTTCCTCCTAGGGAAACTGTCTATGAGCCAATTAAGCTATGAAATAGAAAATTATTTATATTTAATGTGATGGTATGTTCACATAATACAGCAAACTGTTGTGATTGTGTATGAACATGTGATTTAATGATAAAGAACGCTTGTAGCTTGGGGGTAAACTATAAATAATAAAGTCTTAGTTTCATAATGTTCATACTGTGCGTTTTTTCTTCCTAACAACTAAAGTGCTTTTTGGTCACTGGAGACTTTTGTTTATATTGACAGAAGTTAAAAATCTTTGGATGCTTAAGAGATTGATTACAGAGTCTTTTGGGCCCCAGAAAGCAGTACATTGATTGTATTATTCACGTTGGCATCAGATTTGGTTGGGATGGAGACAAAGGTATATAGAAGATAATTTTAAAGATAACTTATTACAAGTCCTATTTCCCTAATCTGCACAGAGAACTGATTTTAACAAATATTAGGTATCTATAATAATAAAAGCATAATATGCTAAGTAGACCAGACGACCTTCCGGACAAAGCCAGGGCTGCGAAGGAAGCCCGGGTCTCATGAGCCAGGGGGAAGCCAGCAACCGGGGAAAAGAAGGCCTACTCTTGCATGAATTTCATGCATCGGGTCTCTAGTTTATAATATTTAAAGTTAATGTTGGAGAAGGGGAAGCATGGATAAATTCATGGCAAACAATGTATCTTTTTTTTGTTAATCCTCACCCAAGGATATTTTTTTCTTTTTTTAGAGAGTGGAAAGAAAAGGAGGGAGAGAAGAGAAACATTGATATGAGAGGAACATCGATTGATTGTCTCCTTCACGATGCTTAACTAGAGCTGGGAATCAAGGTTTTTATTTTTTTGTGTATTTTGGCTAAGGCTTCATTATTCGGGGACAGTAGTGGCCTTGGTTGGTTTTGAGCTGCCAAGGATAACTGAACAAATAAGTTTCTTTCCTCTCTCATACTCTTGTCCAACGAGCCCATATAGTTGAGTTCTAAGTTACAAACACAAATATTCAGTGCACTGTGTCATCTTTTGTCTTTTCCATAGCAGACCTAAGCCTCGTATGTTATTACCATTTGAATTGGGAATCTGACTGGTCACAAGTAACAGAAATGGATTCTGGCTGATCTGAGCAGGGAAGGAATTTATTGGGAGATCATGGCTAGCTCAGAAAATGGATAAGAAGGCTGGAGACTGGGTGAGAAAAGGGGACCTCTGAACGGAAGGGTCAGAACCAGAGACAAAGTCACACCACAGAGCCAGTTCATTGAGGACAGTGCCACTGGTGCGGAGCAAAGGTGCTCTAGTCCCACCAAATGCCTCCAGAAACACATCCTCCACACTGCTGGCTGCCCCTGTTCCAGAAAGTAATCTTTGTACTATCAGAATCTTATTGGTCCAGCTTTGGACACCTGTTCAAGTGTTAGCTGCAAGGGGGGCTGGGAAACTGAGTTTCTGGCTGTTTCAGCTTCTATACAGAGACGTGCTTTTCTTATTTTTTAAAAAAATATATTTTATTGATTTTTTTACAGAGAGGAAGGGAGAGGGATAGAGAGCCAGAAACATCGATGAGAGAGAAACATCGATCAGCTGCCTCCTGCACGCCCCCCACTGGGGATGTGCCTGCAACCAAGGTACATGCCCTTGACCAGAATCGAACCTGGGACCCTTGAGTCTGCAGGCCAATGCTCTATCCCAGCCGTGGGCAAACTAAGGCTCGCGGGCTGGATCCGGCCCGTTTGAAACGAATAAAACTAAAAAAAAAAAAAAAGACCGTACCCTTTTATGTAATGATGTTTACTTTGAATTTATATTAGTTCACACAAACACTCCATCCATGCTTTTGTTCTGGCCCTCCGGTCCAGTTTAAGAACCCATTGTGGCCCTCGAGTCAAAAAATTTGCCCACCCCTGTTCTATCCACTGAGCCAAACCGGTTCTGGCCAGAGACGTGCTTTCCCACTAAGACGCATACAGTGGGAGACAATTCTCTACACATAAGGAGGTGGTTAGATAACTGGGCAGTTAAAGAAAAAGACATATCTAGCACCCTTATCTAACTCTGAAGGAAATGATAACCTGAGTACATGCTGTGCATGCACTTTTCAGCCATTCAAAAACATTTCTTTCGCTAAGTTAGAATGTTCCAGAGACTGATAAAACCTTCTTAATCTGAAGAAGAAGGAAAAGTACATAACCTATAGTGTTTCCCTTCTTTATCTTGCTTTGTGGGAAGCTCAGGGCTGATGTCCAATCATAGGAGCTCTAATAACTACCAAACCTGATTTTCAAAATGTTCTGCAAAGACCCTGAGGGCCTCTTGGAAGTGCCCTGGGTGAGAGGGCAAGCAAGGGAAGGTCTGCCCCTGCTCACCCTGCATGCTTTAACTGTTTTATATCTGTGGGTTCTACTGAGGACTGCATTTGATTAAAGGCCTCCATTGCTAAGTTAAACTTAAACTTCTGTTTGAATTGATTCGCTTACTTGCCTCTCCCTCTCTCAAGGTTCCCATTCTCTATTTCCATGCACACCATTTCATTTTGTATACATAATAGCACCATAAGCACTTTTCTGGAAGCAAAGGGGACATAAATTCTAAAAAGGGGACTTTCCTGGTGTGGGTTGGATCCACTAAACAAATACCTATTGCTGAGTCACTCATGGGAATTCCTGGTGAGTGTCAGGGTTCCTGTAGGCCTCTCTGAGTCTTCAAAGTATTTTCCATAGCTGCTCAGGGAGTTGTTTTGCTTACGAATTTGCTGGTTTTTCAATTTATTAAAAGTTCCCCACACCAGTACAGTATCTCTGTCAAATGAAGTTTTTTATTATGTTTTTTAATCTACTGAACCCCAAAACCCCTAATAATACTCTGCTTTTCCACCCATATTTCCAAATGAGGATTTTCACCTGGCCCTCAGCTTGACCAACTAGACCTGTCTTCTACTGTTTCCTATAGATTTAATTTGAATACTTTTTTGAAGTTTTAAAGATAGAAGGAAGTGTTCAGATTCTGTCCTTTTTGGACATTGATTTTCTCTTCAGACAGTCTTGCAAAGGGATGATAATAGGAAATATCTATTACTGCAGCAGCTCAGCTCCATTGAGGATATCATGTTCTTTGTAAGAACACAGTTTTAGCCCTGGCCAGTGTGGCTTAGTGGATAGAGCATCAGCCCTCGGACTGAAAGGTCCTGGGTTCAGTTCTGGTCAAGGGCATGTACCTTGGTTGCAGTCTCGATCCCCGGCTTGTGCGGGAGGCAGCCAATCCAAGTGTCTCACATCGATGTTTCTGTCTGTCCCCCGCCCCCCAGCTCCCACTCTCTCTAAAAATCAATGGAAAAATATCCTCGAGTGAGAATTAACAAAAACCCAAGAACACAGTTTTAAAAGTCAAATACAGATACAAGGTGCTGGGGTCCAGTCCCAGCGGGTCCAGGGGTTCCCCAAAGGTGTGGACGGAATCGGCGAAGAAGGAATGACACGGAGACAGAGTTCAGTTGATCAGCAGCCTAACCAGGATCTCTAGTCAGGATCTCTAGCCAAGTTCTGGTCAGGATCTCCAGCGAAGTTCTGGTTAGGATCTCCAGCCAGGCTCTGTGTCCATGTTCTCTTGCTAGGTTCTCCAGCCAGGTTCTCCAGGTTCTCCAGCCAGGTTCTGTAGCCATGTTCCCTTGCTAGGTTCTCCAGCCAGGTTCAGTCACCAGGTTCTAGTCAGGTTCTCTTGCCATGTTCTATCCAGGTTCTGTAGCCAGGTTCTGTCTCTAGGTTCTTCAGCCATGTTCTCTCGCTAGGTTCTGTCTCTAGGTTCTGTGGCCAGTTTCTGTCCAGGATCTTTTGCCATGTTCTCTCCAGTGAAGTTCTTCTGTCTCTAGGTTCTGTGTAGGTTCTGTGTCTAGGTTCTGAGTCTAGGTTCTGTGTTCTAAGTTCTGTCTCTTGTTGTCTTGTTACATCTGTATTTATACCAGTTGATTCCAATCCTATCAATCTCTATTCCAAAGGTTAGGGCGTTTCTTATCTCCATTTCAGGGAGTAAAGATTATGTAGCTTAAGCATGATTGTTCATAGTTAAAGTGATTAATTACCCGCCTGGCACTTAGTTAAGGGGTTTTATTCCCTCCCTAACTTCAGGGGAAAATCCCTACCTGGGAAAACAACCTTTCTCAGAGAGGGGACCTTGGTTAAAACACATAGTGCCAAGAAGGTGAGCAAACATATTAAGAACAGTATGCCATATATGCCAGGTCCCTTGAAACAGCAAGGATGGACCGGCTCCCGGCAACAAGGCACACATTGAAATTTCAGAAATAGTATGTAAGTCAATGGAGATTCAAGAGATAGGTGATTACATTCTCTCCATTTCATCTACTGACCAATGGGAAGTGTTAGCATTTGTAGCAACAGGAGCTTCAATGTGCCTTTATTTGCGTCACTTCGTGGTTCCCCACTATCAGTTAGATGTTACCACACTTCAGATAAAGAAACTGAAAGTCAAAGAGAAACTCAGTGACTCAAACTGCACAGGTAGAAAATGCCATAGCTGAGTTGGAACTCAGGTCTTCAACCTCTTTCCAGAGGAATACCGTTTAGTAGACTCAGGCATGGTTGCCTGGCCCTGTTGGAGTTGTGCCCATGGGCCCTGGGAGCTATGGATGGTGGAGTGGTAGGTGATCCCGAGGCCCACTAGTTAGCGCATGGTTCTCAACCTGTGGGTCGCGACCCCTTTGGGGGTCGAACGACCCTTTCACAGGGATTGCCTAAGACCATCGGAAAACACATAGTCCACCCATCTGTAAAATCATGTGAATATGAAACTCTTATTCCTGGAAGAGCCTGTCAAGGGTAAAATCTTTGCAGTAGACAACGCTAAATGCCCTTGTATTGTCATACTAAGCCCTAAAAACGCAGTTCATGCTAAGAGAAGGAATCCTGTTCTGCCCATCTCCCTCCTCTTACTTAAAGAGGAGTGGGGTTGAAGGGGGATGGATTCCTTTGGAGATAAATTTCAGTATGCTCTGTCTATCCTCTTCAAGGGTATATCCATCAGAGCATGTGCCCATTGGGAGGAGGGACATGAGGATTGTATGAGAAACTAGCTATACTGGCTTTAGGCAACAGAGCAGGGAGAAGGTGGCACATTTGCTCTCAGTGGAGGGGGAGAGGGAAGGAGGCACCATGTGTGCTCTCCATGGACCA